AGGGCTGGGGCAGACGAGGCGTCTCTCTCGCCAATCTCAGCACCTGCTCTGGAGGCCGGTGGAACTGCCAGGAGGCCCCGTGCCCGGGCACGTGCTCGGTGCTGGGAGGTGCCCACTTCTCCACGTTCGACGAGAGGGAATACACAGTGCATGGTGACTGCAGCTACGTGCTGGCCAAGGTACGGCCGCCACCGGCCTCGGGACGGCACTCCCAGAGGTCGTTGGCTGTGGGTCCAGGCCTGCACTGGGCGTTGCTGCAGCGCCTGGGGACCCTGGGGATCCCCGATAGCAAGACCTTGAGAAAACGCTCCTGTTCCCCAGTGCTGTGACCTCACTGGAGCTGCCGCCCTGAGTCCCTGTCGCTGGGGGCGCGGAGGGGCTCTGTCCAGGGCCCTGGCCTCCTCGCCTTGGGTTTCGATTCCCAGTAGCTTTATGTTTCGGAACAGCTGTGTGTTCCCAGGTAAACTGAGCAGGAAGTACAGGGATTTCCCCCGTCCCCCATCTCCTAGCGCCTGTGGGAATCTGTCCTAACCCATGAGCCGTGCTTCCCAGCAGAGGTGGCGCTCGGAGCTGACATCCCATGGGTCTGCACAAATGTGCAGTGACACCTATCCACATGTTAGCGTCCCACTGCCCTGCAACCCCAGGGCCCGCCCTCCCCCGCCTCCCTGGTCACTGACCCTCCCCTCCCCACAGCCGTGCTCCCCAAGTTCCCAGACTGGAATCACATGCAGCAGTCTTCTCTGCTTTCTGTCACCCCCCATGGGTGGACCTTGGAGTCCTCTGCTCTGGTGGGGCCTGTGAGCACTGCCCTCTCAGGGGGTACAGGGATCGAGCCCTCACGCCGAGGGCTCCGTGGGAGGGGACAAGGCGGGGCCCCCGGGCAGGGCCTGAGGACTCTGGTTCACCTGCAGCCCTGCAACAGCAGCGCCTTCACCGTGCTGGCCGAGCTGCGCAGGTGCGGGCTGACGGACAGCGAGACCTGCCTGAAGAGCGTGACGCTGAGCCTGGACGGGGGGCAGACGGTGAGTGCCTCTGGAGGTGAGGGGAGCCCAGGTGGGGCTAGGTCCTGAGGGGTGAAAGGGACGCATGGCCCACAGTGTCTTCTCAGCCCTAGTCCTAGACCCTGGCAGCAACGGCGAGTGACCAGAGGACCCTCCACCCCTGGCTGTGTCCATTACCCACAGGTCTTCTCAGTGACTGTCCCTAAGTGGAGCCGCTCAGCACGGGGTGCAGGGGCCTCCATGTCTGCCCCACTGGTCCCAGCAAGGAGAGACTCAGGCCTCTCTAGCCAGCCTGGCTTCTCCGCTGAAGTCCACTTCTCTGCTCTAAAATAACACCAGCTTTCACGTTACTAAGACACTCACGGCACACAGGGAGGCCACGGGCCTGCAGTGAGGGTCTCCCAGCCGCGAGTAGAAACATGTCACAGGCAGGCCGGGTCCTCTGGGGACACTGCCGACCTGCCTGGGCCCTGTGCTAACCCTGCTCGGAGCTGTTCCCAGGTGGTCGTGGTCAAGGCCAGCGGCGAGGTGTTTGTGAACCAGATCTACACGCAGCTGCCCATATCAGCCGGTGAGAGCTCTGGCCCTCCCGCTGGGGCTGCCTGAGGGTGCCCCTCCCCGCACCCCAACAAAGCCTTACCCCTGTGTCCGCAGCCAACGTCACTCTCTTCAGACCTTCGACTTTCTTCGTCATCGCTCAGACCAGCCTGGGCCTGCAGCTGGACATCCAGCTGGTGCCCACGATGCAGGTGTTTGTGAGGCTGGCGCCCGCGCTCCGGGGACTCACCTGCGGTGAGTGCCACAGCCTACCTGGGCCCGGGGCCTGCCCTGGCGGTCAGTCATTCAGAGGGCTCTGGGCCACCACTGCCCTCCCTGCCCCCAGGGCTCTGCGGGAACTTCAACAGCATCCAGACGGACGACTTCCGGACCATCAGCGGGGTGGTGGAAGGCACTGCCGCCGCCTTCTTCAACACCTTCAAGACCCAGGCTGCCTGCCCCAACGTCAAGAACACCTTCGAAGACCCCTGCGCCCTCAGCGTGGAGAACGGTACGCGTGTCTGTTCACCGCGCCTCCCCATGGGCCGCGGCTCACCTGCTTCCGTTCTGAGCTGGCCACTCACTTGGGAAGAGTGTGCTCAGCCTCGGGGGCTGGGCCTGGGTCCAGCTGTCCACTCTGGCCCAGCCCTCGCAGGGGGAGTCAGGAGGTAAACAGGCAGACTGCCCAACTCAGGGTTGTCCCGACTGTGGTGAGCTCTGGAGGAAAAGGAGCAGAGTGCCATGGGCAGAGTGGAGGCCCCCACGTGCCTCCCACGCAGGCAGGGACGGGGGAAGGGGCCCACACAGGCCTTCCGTGGGTCTATTAAACGGAGCAACTCTAACCTGCATTTGAGGCCAACACCATCCATCCCCGAGGGCTGGGCAGGGGCGGGAGAGGTGGGATTCAGCTTCAGGCGGGCTGGCCTCCTTGTGTGCCCTCAGAAATGGTCACAGGACTCGGCCTGCCTGTCTGAAGTGGTGACCACTCAGGACCCTGGAAGGTGGTGGCTCTGGGGTGCTGGGCTGGGAGATGTAGGGAGGATACCACGTCGGCTCTAGCAGTGTGGCTCAGTGCCCCAGTATCTGCCTGCACAGCAAAGCCAGACACCCCGCATCCCGACTGGGAGCAAAACCAGGCGGGGTGAGCGAGCTGGCTGACGCCATTCCTCTGTCCCCAGAGAAGTACGCCCAGCACTGGTGCTCACGGCTGACTGACGCTGACAGCCCCTTTGCCCCGTGCCACACTGCGGTGAACCCCAGCACCTACTACTCGGTAATGACCCCGCCCGGCCCTCTCCTCCTGGCAGAACCCCAGCTACTGAGCCATGTGGTCACCCCCAGGGTGGCTCGGGGAGTTCCATCAGGGAGGAAGGGGCTCGGCAGGCAGCCTGGACCTTCTCGAAGCCCTGACGGCCTGCAGGCAACAGGCAGTGGGGCCTGGGGCCGCCGGCTTCCCCGCTCCATCTCCACCTCCACATCCTACTCTTTCCTCCTCCGTCTGCCCACCCACTCACTGCGGGTTTGCCAAGGCCATCTCGTGCCCCCCCCGCTGCACACCTGGCACAGGGGCCTGCCGAGCCCCAGGGGCAGTGGCTGTGCTGACCCCCCGGTGTCTGAGAGGAAGGGCCTGAGGGCTCTGCTCTAAGATGCTGAGGGTGGGAGGAGGCTCCAGGGGTCCTGAAGGGGGTGGGAGGACGAGGAGGGACCCAGCAGGGTCCTGGTTCCTGGATATGGGCCCAGCAGGGGTGCGATGCTCCGGGTGTGGCCGCGGGTCCCTGACACCCCGATGGCCCGCCCCCAGAACTGCATGTTCGACACGTGCAACTGCGAGAAGAGCGAGGACTGCCTGTGCGCCGCCCTGTCTGCCTACGTGCACGCCTGCGCCGCCAAGGGCGTGCTGCTCCGCGGCTGGAGGGACGGCGTCTGCAGTGAGTGTGCGGCCCAGCCGGGCACCCCCTCGCAGTGTGGAGTGTCTCACATCGGCTGTCTGGGCTTCCCCGGGTGGAGGCAGGGCGTACTGGGGACCACAGCAGGCTGTCACTCACGGGGTTCTCAGCCGAGTTTCACATGTCCTCATCCCGGCCTTCATTCTTACGGCCCCCTTCTCCTGCACCCCATCACGGACAGGGACCCAGAGTCTAGGGCAGGGCAAGCCAAAGGCCGGCCAGGCTGGCCACTGACTTCTCGCCCTGCGCCCTCGACTGCAGCCAAGTACATGAGCAGCTGCCCCCAGTCCCAGAACTACTCGTACGTGGTAGACACCTGCCAGCCCACCTGCCGTGCCCTGAGCGAGCCAGATGTCACCTGCAGCATCTCCTTCGTGCCTGTGGATGGCTGCACGTGCCCAGCAGGCACCTTCCTGGATGATTCTGGAGCCTGCGTGCATGCTGAGGACTGCCCCTGCTACTTCCACGGCGCAGTGGTGGCGCCCGGAGAGGTCGTGCATGACAACGGCGTGGTGTGGTAAGCTGGGGAGTGGGCCCTGGTGCTCCCTGGGTCCACCCGCCTCCTCAAAGCCACTCTCATGCCCTCCCCAACCTCAAGCCCTCCAGACAGACAGGCCACACACCTGTGGAGTACCCAAAGGCTCTGAGCTCCCCCAGGGGGTTTGACAAAGGGGCTGTACAGCCCAGCTGTACAGAGATTTGAGGGGTCGTTATGAGGTCCAGGGGCTCACAGAGGAGGCAGGGTAGGTGTGTCTTTGGGAGGCTCCTGGCAGCTGCAGCCCAGGAGCAGCAAGTCTCCCACCCTCCCACCCTGGCTTTGAGCAGCCAGCCTGTCCCTCTTGCCCACCTTGTGTACTTTACGGGGCTGAGGCCTTCATGGCGACCCCAGTAGCAGGCACCATCCTGGTCCCATGAGGAGGCTGTGAGGCCTGGGGAGGCCGGGTGCGGAGTATGCGGCGTCGGGCAGCTGCTTAGATTGGGTTGCTCTGTCTCTTAGCTCGTGTGCACGTGGGAAGCTGAGCTGCCTGGGAGCCTTGCTGCAGAAGAGCTCTGGTAACGCCCTGCCCAGCCTGACCACAGAGCCTGCCCGGCTTTGTCCACACCCAGACTGTGCGCAGGCACCTGTGCTGAGATGCTCCAGGAGAGAAGGGGCTGGAGGCTCTCTGTGCCCTTGCGGGTGGGAGTCCTGGGCTGCTCCGCCCAGGGCAATGTCCACAGTGGCCTGGGTGCGCATGCTCAGAGGTCATCCTGCTCACCGGCCAGCATGATGGGGTCGGTCAGGGTCAGGACCGTGTGAGGACGGGACCGGGGAGGCTGGTCAGGTGGCTTCAGGAGCCCGAGGCCACCCTTGCCTGGGCCCTCCCACAGCACTCTGTTTCCCCAGGGTGTGTGCCCCCCATGGAGTACCTGGACTGTAACAATGCCACGGCAGGTGCGCCCGGGGCCGAGTGCCTCAGGAGCTGCCACATGCTGGACGTGGACTGCGTGAGTCTCCATGGGCACGGCCTGGATGCCGCCTCGCTGTCCTGGGCTGCGGGAGGATGGGCAGGGTCTGGGAGTGGGCCTTGCTGCTCCTGGGCCCAGGCGTCTGGATGGCCTGGTGCTGCTGAGTGGCCGGCAGCTGTGGGCCTCGCTGACCCAGAGGCTCTGCCGCCTGCATGGCCGCCACCCCACCCATGAAGTTTCCCGGTGGGTGCCTGTCCTGCAGCTGGGCCCTAGGGTGGCATTTGCTTGCCTGGGTCCCAGCCCTGACTGGCACTGCCTATGTCCCTCAGTTCAGCACCCACTGCGTCTCTGGCTGCGTCTGCCCCCCAGGGCTGGTGTCGGATGGAAGCGGGGGTTGTGTGGCTGAGGAGGACTGCCCCTGCCTGCACAATGAGGCCACCTACAAGCCTGGGGAGACCATCAGGGTGGACTGTAACACCTGGTAGGTGCAGGGTCCCTCAGAGGCAGGGACAGGGAGGGTGTCCTGCGGTCAGCTGGCCTCAACTGGTGCTGGCAAGGTGGGGACCTCAGCGGGAAGCTCTGATTGTCCTCAACAGGATGCCCAAGGCAGCGGTGCCAACGGGCCTGCAGTGGGGCAGTGTCCCACACTCTGCTCCAGCCTACCTTCATGGCCAGGGCAACGCCGCAAGCCCACCTGGGAGGGAGGAGCGGGGTCTTACTGAATGCCAGTGTCAGGACCCCTCTCGTCAGTGCCACGCAGCAGGCGGGCCCTACAGCAGGGCAGCGTGCCAGTGCCAGGCCTGGGCAGCCGGTCTTAGCGCGGAGCTGCAGGAGACCAGCCCTGCAGGTGCTGCCCCTCTCCACAGCACATGCAAGAACCGCCGGTGGGAGTGCAGCCAGCGGCCCTGCCTGGGCACCTGCGTGGCCTATGGGGGCGGCCACTTCATCACCTTCGACGGTGAGCGCTACAACTTCGAAGGCAGCTGCGAGTACACGCTGGCCCAGGTACGTGCCCCTCTCCCGCCCCCACAGCCGGGCATGGTGGGGCCCTCGAGTAGCACCTCCTCTCTCCCTGCCTCAGGACTACTGCGACAGCAATGCCACCACCAATGGGACCTTCCGTATAGTCACGGAGAACATCCCCTGCGGGACCACTGGCGTCACCTGCTCTAAGGCCATCAAGCTCTTTCTGGAGGTGAGGGTGCACGAGGGGCAGTGCGGAGCCTCTTCTTCCCCCTGTGGTCACAGGCAGGCCCAGCCCCACAGTGGAGGTTTGCCACACGGCCTTCAGTGGCCTCCATGGGCTCAACGGCCACCCGTGGCCTGGGCTGCTGAGACAGACAACCACACCGGGGGGACTGGGGTCTGTAGAAGTGCTTCCTCTCTCAGACCTGGAGGCCAGGAGTCCGAGCCCCAGGCTGGCAGGGCCTGTCCCTAGTGAGGCACCGAGAGGAAACCTTCGTCTTCTGGCCCCCAGCATTCTGGGCCTGTGGCCACATTACTCCAACCTCTGCCTCCGTCTTCACGTGGCCTTCTCCTTCCAAGTGTCACCTATAAGGACACTTGTCATTGGGTTTAGCGCCCACTGGGTAATCTGGCATGGCCCACATTGTGAGATCCTGCATTCGATCTCATGTGCGAACACGTTCTTCCAAACAAGGTCACGCTCACGGCTTTGGGGGTCAGAACATGGACAGATCTTTTCGGGGACCACGTTGACCCCATCACACCCAGGGACATATATTTCCACAAAGGGAGGTCAGAGCCCACAGGGCAGAAAGCAGAGCTGTGGGCTGGATGGGAGCAGAGGCAGAGGCGGCATGAGTTCTGGGCGGCCACGGCTCTCACTTCCACGCAGCCCTCCCCGGCTCCCGGCCTCTTGCCAAATGTTCCGAGAGCCTTGTGAGCCCAGCAATTTCCAGTGCCATCTCCCTGCACCAGGAGCCACTGAGCCCCCGTGGAGGACCTGCCTGCCAGGGGCATGCTCTGGGCCTCAGGTCCCTCCCCACCTAGGGACCATGGGATCTACGCCTGGCCCTGAGCTGGCCTGCAGCACCTGCAGCTGCCCTCCTTGTACGCCCCTTTCCAGAGCTATGAGCTGATCCTCCATGAGGGGACCTTTAAGGTGGTACAAAGGGCCCCTGGAGGAGACCTGCCCTACAAGATTCGCTACATGGGCATCTTCCTGGTCATCGAAACCCGCAGTGGGATGGTCGTGTCCTGGGACCGGAAGACCAGCGTGTTCATTCGGCTGAAGCAGGAATACAAAGTGAGTAACCCGCTGTGGGCTCCTGGGGCAGCAATGAGCCCCACTCCCGCCCCTGCTCCACCTGAGTCCACAGCTGACTGGCTGCTGATTGCCGGTCTTCACTTAGGAAAGCCCAGCCTGGGGTGAGGCCTGGGAGAAGCAGGTGCACAGGTTATCATGTCAAACTCTAAAAAGGGAGTGCAACTCGGGTCTGCTCTCGGCTTCGGTGATGGGCAGAGGGCTATGGGGAGCAGGTGCTGCCCACCTGCCCTGCGCACATGCCCGTCTCGTCCTCCTGCAGGTTCACTGGGCACTGCCTAGGGGAACTCAGTGCCCTCCCTGCAGTTCCCCAAGGGCTCTGGACCCTCCCAGGCCAGTCGCCAGCTCCCATAGGCCTCCCACGGTCTCAGTTCCTGGGCTCCATTTGTCGCTGTGCCTCTGCAGGGCAGGGTCTGCGGCCTGTGCGGGAACTTCGACAGCAATGCCATCAACGACTTCACCACGCGGAGCCAGTCTGTGGTGGGCAGCGTGCTGGAGTTTGGAAACAGCTGGAAGTTCTCCCCGTCCTGCCCGGATGCCCTGGCGACAAGGGACCCCTGCACCGCCAACCCTTACCGCAAGTCCTGGGCCCAGAAGCAGTGCAGCATCATCAACAGCGCCACCTTCGCCGCCTGCCGCTCTCAGGTGGGCACCGGGCACAGTGGGGCCTATAGAGGCAGCAGCTGGTAGGGATCATGGCTGCCTCCTTCTTCCAGGGGCAGCTGGGTCTGGTCGGGGCTGGTGTGAGGCTGGCCCCCTCACCCCAGCACACGGCACCTCACTGTGGGTTTTTGGATCCCAGGCCTAGATCTCCTGCTGGGCTAGTACCTGTGCTCCTTGTCCCCAGCACGGAGCTGTCCCAACCGTCTTCCAGCTACTTCTATGACCACTGCCTCGGTTTTATTCAAAGGCTCTCGGGGAAGGGCTGGCCCTCGCTGTGGCCTAGTCGTTCTCGCCTGCGGTGCCCAGATCCACCCCATCTGCAGCATGAGCAGAGCACCAACAGACCTCCCCAGCCCAGGGGAGCAGCCTGAAGTAGCCCCCGTCTCTTCCAAAACTCAGCGTCCTGTCAGTTCAACACAGGCGCGAGCACCACGTCTGAGTCCCGGGTGCCTGCGTAGGGACAGCGTCACCGTGCTGAGCCCTGAAGGACTCTAGCGGCCAGTCCTCAAGTGGGTGGCCAGCAGCACCGCTGGCTGCTCGGCTCTTGTCTCAGAAGGCCCTTAGGGGCTGACAGGCCGACCTCGACTTTTGCTCCTGTGGTGGCAAAAGTGGGGACTTGGGGTCTCTCTGGGAGGAGTGTGGGTCTGGGGCTTACCCCATCTTGCCCCCTCAAGCATGCAGGTCCTCATCAGGCAGGATCCCGGGTGGGCCAGTCTGGAAGGCGAGTGAGAGGCTGTGCATGGTCCCTGGTGCTAGAAGTCACCACCCCTGCAGGCATGTTGGTTGGCTGTGCTAGCTGGCTCTAAATGAAGGGGGCAAGGCTCACCACAGTGAGGGGACACCTGCTCTCACGAAACTGACTTCAGGAGGGAGCCAGCAGGGGGTACATGGAGTGGTCGGGGAGGGCATCTGTGTGGGGGGCCCAGAGCAAGGAGCCCTCACAAGGCTACAGGGAGCTGTGTCCAGGGGACTAGCTGGCCATGAGGAAGCCCCAAAGTGGGAAGGGAGCCAGTGTGTCAGGAGAAGATGAGGGGCATGCTGAGATCAGAGGTGTGACCAGAGGTGCAGTGTCCCAGCTGGGTTTGGAGCCCGCAGACCACATGTCCAGATTAATGTGGTAAAGATATCCAAAGGGTATGAGTGAAGGTGCACAGGTGGGCAAGCACATAGATGGGTAGGCACACAGGTGGACAGATGAGCAGGCACACAGGTGGGCAGGTGCACAGGTGGGGATGCACACAGGTGGGCAGGTACATAGACAGGAGGTACATAGGTAGGCAGGTGCATAGTGGGGAGACACATAGGTGGACAGGTGCATAGGTGCATAGATGGGAGGCGCACAGGTGGACAGGTGCATAGGTGGGGAGGCACGCAGGTAGGCAGGTGAATGGGTGGGAGGCACTCAAGTGGGCAGATGGGCAGGTGCACAGGTGGGCAGGTGCATAGGTAGGGAGGCACACAGGTGGGCAGGTGCATAGGTGGGGAGGCAGACAGGTGGGCAGGTGCATAGGTGGGGAGGCAGACAGGTGGGCAGGTGCATAGGTGGGGAGGCACAGAGGTGGGCAGGTGCATAGGTGGGGAGGCACACAGGTGGGCAGGTGCATAGGTAGGGAGGCACACAGGTGATAAGGTGCATAGGTGGGGAGGCACACAGGTGGACAGGTGCATAGGTGGGGAGGCACACAGGTGGACAGGTGCATAGGTGGGGAGGCACACAGGTGGACAGGTGCATAGGTGGGGAGGCACACAGGTGGACAGGTGCATAGGTGGGGAGGCACACAGGTGGACAGGTGCATAGGTGGGGAGGCACACAGGTGGACAGGTGCATAGGTGGGGAGGCACACAGGTGGACAGGTGCATAGGTGGGGAGGCACACAGGTGGACAGGTGCATAGGTGGGGAGGCACACAGGTGGACAGGTGCATAGGTGGGGAGGCACACAGGTGGGCAGGTGCATAGGTGGGGAGGCAGTCAAGTGGGCAGATGGGCAGGTGCACAGTGGGCAGGTGCATAGGTGGGGAGGCACATGGGTGGGCAGATTAGCAGATGCACAGGTGGGCAAGAGGGCCAGAAAGGCAGTGCTGGGCAGCTCCCATATGGGACTCACTTGAAGGTACTGATGGCCCATGATTGGAGCCTGGATTACTGGTGTGAGGTTGACATGAACATCGCTCTGGGACAGACCCAGGATCAGCTGTCCCCTGAGCTGAGGTGGGAAGTGGCCCATCTTAATGATTGCACCCTGGCCCCTCTAATCTCAGGTTGACTCTACCAAGTACTACGAGGCCTGCGTGAGCGACGCCTGTGCTTGCGACTCAGGGGGTGACTGCGAGTGTTTCTGCACGGCCGTGGCCGCCTACGCCCAGGCCTGCCAGGAGGTGGGCGTGTGCGTGTCCTGGCGGACCCCGGATGTCTGCCGTGAGTTGGGCTCTGTTCGTGCTGAAGGGCCAAGGTACCAGGGCGGTGGGAGGAGAAGCAGCAGCCTCTGTAGG